ACGCTGTACTTTACATCCCCAGGACTATTTTGTAACTACCAGTCTGTACTTCTTAACCCCTTCATCTCTTTGGGGAGAGGGTTTGGGGAGTGGAATAAAGACGCCTTTTAAAAGCCCTAACCAGATCAGTCATATCACCCCCTTCCTCCAACAGCCTCATTATGGAATTCATATTTAAAGGGCCACTCCCTTAGGGAAGGCCTCCCTCACCTCAGATTGGGTTCATCCCTTGTCACAAGCTCTCATAGTAACTCTCTCTTCCCACATGGGAGTCACCTCTGTTGTAATTAATTGATTATGTGACTTCTGCTTAATGCCTTCCTCCCTCACTGCACCGTGAGTCCAGGAGGGCAGGTTTTACTCCAGCTCCCAGTGCCTGTAGCACGGCCTTGCACATAACAGGCAATAAATGGTTGTTAAAGGAATGAACAGTATCAAATCATATCTGCTACTGTATCTGTTACATGCATCCTTCTCAACATATCAAAATAATTTTAAAGTTGCAAATATAATATAATATAAATATAATTTAGGGTAAGTATCAGTTCAATGTCTGATGAAGGGCTCCTTGGCATAAGCTGACTTTTCTAGTCATGTGGCGACAGAGCAACCTGCTGCAGGTTTAATTCTTAGAAGTGAATTAGCCTCTGAAAGTAACTCTCCGGTCTCTGCATAAAAGTCATGTAAAACTTGTCATCATGTTGCAAATCCAATAGTCAGTCAGCTTTGTTCCTTTCTAGATACTTTATTGGCAGTTGTGGCAGTGGCTTGGTTTATGGGTTTATGGGGTTACTATGACAATAGTTCATAGTACAAAGGTTTTAATTCTTATGCATGGAGTTAAAATAAGATAAACACATTTTAGTTCTTTTTAAGTAAAAAAAACTATTTATTAAAATAATTATGATCTAATAATAATATTCATAAGCAAAAACGAATTCTTTACTTTCATAATCAATTTTGTCATTTATAAAAACAATGACAAATATTATTTCATTTGACTTCCATAACAATTCTGTGAAACAAATAAGAGTTATAGTCCCCATTTCACAGAGAAGGTAAAATATGGTACCTAAAGTCACACATCCAGTAAATGGGAGAGTAAGATGCTAAATCCAAGTTATAAGTTCTTTCTTCTATGTCATATGGCCCTTCAGCATTAGACTATAACTTAAGAAATGAAAACCTAGGCATAATATTGTAGCTTTCTCATGCTTTAATTTTCCTTTCAATTTCTTTCAAAAACTTGAATCCTTATTTTAGAATTCAAATCTTTGGGAATCAAATGGGCATCTCAGACTATCTGCCAGTTTTAGAGATATAAAACTAAATTGAACATTTGTAGCTCCAATTTCAGTTTAGGGTTTGAGGTGAGAAACAATTTGCTACTGCTCTCTTCTCTAGCCTATTGCTAAAATAATTATTCATAAAGTCCAACTCTTTTATCTTCAGAAATCTTTTTACCATCTTGACTTTATGCATGACAGAAGCCCAAATAGACAAAATTAAAGACACATAGTGCATCTGTTTTTGTTAGCACAGAGCTTTTATTACCTCTTCTTAATCAATAATCCTTTCAGTATTATGTCTTTGACTTTTCAGGCTAGAGCCCCTTTGATACACAACTGGCATTCCAGCATCCCTTAGCAACCCTTGTGGACCCAGAAATAGCTACAAAACTTTGAAAGAGCAGGGAGTTATAAACTCAAACCAAACAGAACATTTTTAAAAGTAAGCAGAATTTAAAGAGGTTTTTAAAACAAAGATATAAAGTGATTTTATTGCTCATTACAACAGCAAATATATCAGTTATAAAAAAAGGAAATGTTTATTTGGGCAGATATTACTTCAATATATCTATATCAAACCAACTGGTGCAGAATTACAAAAAGAATACTTTTGAAGATGTCTGGAAAACTTCCACTTTCCAAAGGTTACCTATATAGAGGCCAAAGTAGCACTTAAAAATGGTTACAGATTTTAACTTCTTCCAGTCAAGGTGGCAGAGTCGAAAAACGTGGTGCTGGCATCTTCCCACAACCACATCAAAATTACAACTAACCTGAAACTAATAGAATGTTGTACGTCAGCTGCACTTGAAAAAAAACTAATGGCTACAAATTGGCACACCTCCTAACCCCACACATTAGTGGGGAAAAATTCTACCCCCAGGTATAAACCCAAGACAAACGAAAACACGTGTCCACACAACAACTTGTACATGAATGTTCACAGCAACATGGTTCAAAAGAGCTAAAGATCAGAACAACTCAAATGTCCATCAATTGATAATAAACAAAATGCGGAATATCTACATAACGAACTATTCCGTGGTCTCATAAAAAGGAATGAAGTACTAATTTATGCTACGACATGGATGAGCCTTAAGCATGTTACGCCAAGTGAAAGAAGCCCGTCTCAAAACCCACATATGGTCATACGAAATGTCCAGAGCAGAGAGATCTATAGAAACAGAAAGTAGATTATCGGCCGCTTAGTTTTAGGCAGAAGGAAAGAAGGGGGGATGGAGAGAGGGGATGATCGCTGAACAGCACAGAGTTCCTTTCTCAGGTAATGAAAATGTTCCCAAATTGACTACGGTGACACACACTTAACCTGTGAACACACCAAAGCTATTGAATGGCATGTGAATTATATTTCAGTAAAGCTGTAAAAAAAAGGTTAAACATTTAATAAATAAATAGATAGTAAGCCTACTTAAAGCACTGTTTTAATAATATTCCTCCTCTGCTCAGAGGCCTCTAAGCACTGAGATACTTAAACGTATGTTTTAAAACTGATATTCAACCCTGAGAATGAAAGAACATAGTCCTCAATGCGTGTGAGCCACTGGACACAGGACTGTGAGAATTCACGTTTTTTAAATGACAGTGGTATGACTGAGGGAGCTCCTACCAGACAGACCTTCCCGGAGATAGCAACTATGAACGCTGGACTAAATACAAAAAAGCAACTACTGGAGGGCACCGGGGAGGAAGCAAAAGCAGGCCACTCTGGAAGGAGTTGAGTCTTGGAAGAAGAGAGTGGCAGAGATGAGATTCAGGGTTTTTTCCTGCCTTTAGCCTAAGAGCAGGCCACCAGTGGGCCCATGGGCAGGGCAACTACAGCTCCCGCAGAAAGCCTGCCGTGTTCCTGGGCCGACGCATTTTTTCTGTCCCCTTCTTAACTTTCACCCTCGACCTCTGCTCCGTCTCTCCCCCCTTGTCTTCATGACACCCAGCATTTCTGGTTCTTTTCCTTCCTCTCTGGCCCTTCTTCCTGTGTCTCTTACTCCTTTCCATTTCTTTGTCTTTCCCTTAAATACTAGCACCCTCCTGGGCTTTGCTTTTAATGGGTGCACTTTCTCTCCCCAGATCACCTCCTGCGGCTGAACTACCACTGAGACTCCCACCATCACGACTGCCGCAGGAGCCCTGCTCGGCTTCCCTCTGCAACCTCTGGCCTCACACCAGGAACAGTGGGGTGGGGGTGAAATTCTAAAGTCAGCACATCAGCCAAAAAAGCCACGTCTAGTCACAGTTTCCCTTGAAATTGCCTTAGGAAGGCAACACGTTGGAGTTCTTATATTCATCCATGCCCTGGCCCAGCCTGCACTGTTGAATTTCCTTAAGTTAATGCACTTAAATTATGATTCCACTGTATTGGTTGTCCCACAAGTATCTCCAACTTATCATGTCTAAACTAAACTTCCAACCTTGCCTCCACCTACCTGCATCCCACTCCTCCACCTGTATTTCCTACATTAACAAAAATCAAACAGGCTGACTCCTTCCTACTTCTCCCTCATACCAATCAGCCTTGATTTCTGTTGATTTTAATGGAATATCTACAACATAGACATGAGCTGTATTTTGTTGAGATTAATTTACTTTATAAATCCTAAGTGTGGAACTTAGGAACTGACCAATAAGAAAATAATATGTAGTTTTGATGAAATAAAAAAATTCCAAAATTATTGGTAGTGCAATGAGATCTGCATCATCTTCTTGGTTTTTTTTTTGTATTTTATTTGATTGCACGTGTTGAAAAAAATTCTGATTCATAGCAATAAGTAGCTATCAATGAAAAGATTCATATTTTTCCCCCACAACAGCTCACCTTTTAACTTAGGATATTGTTCATTTCAAAAAGGAGAGCAAGATCCAAATACAAATGAATGAATCTATCAGCACCAATTACTTGGTTGCTGGCCTCTGCTCTGTTCAAAATTAATACATAATATTTAGTTTGTGTGCATTTGAGATCTATTTTTTTTAAATAGAAAATCAAAGCATAACCCTTGGGACTTTTTCCCCAGAACCTTGACTCTATGGAACAGAGTTTGAAAACCGATGAACCTAGGTGCTAAAACCCAAATCCCTTCAAATAACTGGCAAGATTCTGTGTCATTTGCACTTTATGCATCAACCTAGCTGCATTTCCCACCACTGCCCAAGTTTCACCCCGTTTCCTAAGTCCACCTCCATCTTTCATGGGCTATCCTTTTACCCTTGCTTTTTTTTCCAGCCAAACGTGACCCATGTACTACTGCCTTCTAACCTAAGTTCCTATTAACTTTATTCCAAAGGTTAAAATGTTAATGCCCCATGAAGCCTTTGACTGCCCCAAAGCACCTTGTCTATGCCTCTGTCGTTAACATGTGTTGCCTTGTGTGACAATCATTTCTTCCTCTCAACTGTGAGTTCCTAAGAAAGGACTAATTTAAACATCCTTGAGTTCTCAGGCACTTTCAAAGTTTCTGCTGCCTAGTAATCACTCCTTAAATGTTTTGAATGAATTAATCCATTAATTAATATTAATAGTCACTAGGAGAGTGATTATCGTGGCTAAAACTACAGATTTGCGTAAGACAGTCAACAGATAACCCTTTTATTTAGTTGATATTTTAGGTTACATAAGGACTAAGTAGAAATCACTCTTATAAATCATGTTAATTTTAATATTGACTTCATTTTTTAAAAAATAATGACCGCACTCACCACCAGAGGAAAGCAGGATCACCAGCAGGACAATGAGAGTGCAGATACATGGAATCAGGACGAGCAGGAGGAAACGGAGAACCTTAGCCGTCACCAGCTGCTGAGAGCAGCCGCCACCCACGTGATCGTCATCAGCCCCCAAGACCTAAAGTAAATAAGAAACAAGGCTTTAACATTGCAAAGCAACTCAGTACATGGCATGGACCTGTAGCCTACAGCCATCCATTCAAAGCAGCAACATTCCTAAGGGATTCTGCTGTGTGTACTTTAGGCCATGAAATGAGATTCAGTCACCGAATCACGCTAATAGATGAACAAATAACACTACAACCGCCTTCAGGAAAGTATCCTCTGTTTCTGAAATGTTTTTCAGAAGTGCATGAACTTTTAACAATATAGCATCTTGATTTGTTTAAACATACTTGCCAATCTGGTATTATTCCAAAGGGCCATAAATAACTATGGCAAGAACTCACCTTGGCCCAGAGCTGTAAGCAAAGGCCACCTAGTACAGGGATAAGACATTGGTGAGTAGATGTAGACACCATCTAGACTTCAATGTCGTTAGGCTCGCTAACAACAAATTTGGGCTAACCCAAATCTGCACAAATCTGGATTAACTAAATTTTCTTCCATTCATAATTCAGCAAGTTTTAATATTACTGACCATGTATTTAGTGACAAGTTGAACAATTTAAAAAAAAAAGGCTGTCCAGTTGGCCAACATTGATGATCCCTCAGGACATTCTCCACTGTTCACACCGCCCCGGGAGCCCATCCATGGTGAGAGGGTGATAAGGAGCAATAGCGATGGCTCAGATACAGTTCTTGTCTTCAAATATTTAAATTTTGCTTAGTTCAACCTCTTGCCAGAAATTATGTCTGGAAAGTCATTTATTGCAAATGGCTAGCTTCATGCAGTGACTTTTTCGACAGGAGTCTGAGGTGGAATTAAAAGTGATTTGAATCACCCACTATGTGCAACTCTTCTTTATATATATATATATATTTTTCATTGTATTTATTGGAGTGACATTGGTCAATAAAATTATACAGGTTTCAGGTATACAATTCTACAATACATCATTTGTATATTGTATTATGTTTACCACCCAAAGTCAAGCCTCCTTCCATCACCATTTATACCCCCCTTTACCCAATTCTACCTCCCCCACCCCTTCCCCTGGCAATCACCATACTATTGTCTGTGTCCCTGAGTCTCTTTTTCTTTGCTTAATCCCTTCACCCTTCCCACCCAGCCCCAACACCCTCCCCTCTCACGGCTGTGAGTCTGTTCTCCTTACCCAAGAGTGTCTCCACTTTGTTTATTTTGTTCATAGATCCCACACATAAGCAAATCATATGGTACTTGTCTTTCTTTGGCTGGCTTATTCATTAGCATAATACTGTCCAGGGTCATCCATGCTGTTGCAAAAGGTAAGATTTCATTCTTTTTTACAGCCAAGTAGTATTCAGTTGTGTAAATGTACCACTGCTTTTTTATCTACTTATCTACTGATGGGCACTTGGGCTGTTTCCAGATCTTAGCTATAGCAAAGAACGTTGCAATGAACACATGGGTGCATATATTCCTTGGAATTAGTGTTTCAGGTTTCTTTGGATATATTCATAACTCTTCTGATCCCTTTAATGAAGGTGTTTCTCATGGTTCTCTCTTGGACTTAGGACTCTCCCGCATGTTCTCCTCTGACAGTTTCAGACCTTGAACTAGAACCTCTGTGTAACTGTCTCCTGAGTCTCTCGAGTCCCAAACTCCCTTTCAAGTTATATCATACATTTCCAGTGCCTAGTGTGTAACAGCATCTCTCTCTCTCCCGTAACACTGCCATCAGCTTTTTACCAGGCTTAGGTCTCTTCCAGGGAATTCTTTTTAATCCATCTTCAAGCCTATATCCCACTTCAACCATTGTCCTATCTCTCTCCTCCTTTCTCATCCAAAATGCTCTAGGAGTTAATATTTATGGCCTAAATTTCCTCACTTACTGTTTACTCCGGTGGCCACTACAATTTGGCACCCACTTCTGTCACTTGTACCACAGCTTTCACTGTGGTTCCCAACGACTTCCATGTTGTTCCAGCCAAATGACACTGTCTGGACCTCATTGTAATGACATCTCAGCATCATCTGAGAGATTCTCAGCCACTCCCATCTTCTGCAAGCACTTTCTTCCTCTGACTTCTCTTTCTCCTACTTCTCTGGTCATTCCTGCTCTTTCCTTTCCGTAAGCTCTTATCTCACATTCACTCTCTCCCCACAATGTTACCCACACAAATGGCATCAATTGCCAGCCCTACACATGTGATTAAATAGCAAACAGAGACCTTTCCTCTGAGCTCCAGACCTTTGCATCCAACTGGCCATTTGACATCCCCTCAGTGGATGTTACAAAAACACTTCAAACCTAACATGTCCAAAACCAAATAGATAATCTTCATTCCCATATCTGGTCTTCTTTCAGGGTTCCCTAACTCAGGAAAAAGTAACTGAGCACTTATCGTCAGGCATTGTTTGGGCATTTGGGATACTTCACTGTGCAAAGCAAAAATCTCTAGCCTCATAGTTCCCACATTCTTGTAAAAATGACCATCATGTCTCCCGAGAAATACTGCAAAGGCCTCCTCTTGTCTGGTTTACCTATATTCATTCTTGCACTCCCTAATTTGTTCTCTAAAACTTATTTTATTGCACTCCTTAATTTGTGAGAAAGAGGCTGTGTATCACTGGATAGTGAGAAAAGGCAACATGAAAAATGATCCCCGAACTCAACTAATTCAGGAGATTCAGAGCCTGGAACAGGAGTTGATTATGAGAACCATGTGTCCAGTGGATCCGGCAGAGTTTGGGGGAGGCTTTGGACTTCCACAGGGACAAGTTTTGGGGATATTCAAACTGAAATACTACTGCCACATGAAATATAAACTATAATAACCAACAAATACTCATAAGATTATAAAGCTAGAAAGTACAAATGTATTCCTGCTTCTGTAAAAATATTATTACAGCATAAATAATACTAACACAGCTGTATCTCTCTGTATGTGTATCTATTACCCGTCTCTCATGAGTGTAGCCCAGCATCTAGAACAGCACCTGAGCACAGTCAGAAATGGATTAATATCTGCTGAATAAATGAATGAATGAAAGCATCTGAACAAAAACTGCTCTGCACATAATTATGCAAATAACTGCTGCTTTTTTTTTTTTTTTTTTTTAATGATATATGCCTTAAAACGACTATTTCTGAATCATCCAAAAACACTTGGAGGAGAAAATGTATTTAGTAAGAAAGTAAAAATCTTTCAGGGAAAATATACTAAAATTAATAAAATCAGTTTTTACTGGGACTGTTAGTTCAATTCTACGCTCACATTTCCCATTATGAGTTTTGAAATCAGTCAGAAAATTTTTTGTTTTGAAAAATAAACTGTTGATTTTATTAGACAATTTTTAAAAAATATCACCTACATTAACATGAAAATAAATGACCTTGAAACTCTATTAACCCATATATCAGAGATCCCCAGACATTCTTGGTTCACAGCACCTTGAGTATCCAGGTAATTGTCCCAGTAGCCCTAAGTAAAAAAAAAAAAGCCTACCAGTTCCATTTATTAAACATGTTGGGCATGTTTAGTCCAACAATTTTATAAATATTTGTATCCTAAAAACTTAGTAGCCATTTGAAAAAATACTACACATACATTAAAATTTGAAAATATTTTCATGTCATTCTTCACCACAATCACTTACTAACGGGATGTATGCATCTGCTGGGCCCTGCATAGCACCTCACAGCTGGCAGTCAGATTGGAAAGCACTACCTGCTCCACATGGATTTTTGCCTGGTACAATTTTTACACAGCAGCCACCAAGAACCCAGCTTTATAAAGATAGGGTGACATCAAAAGGGATACAGCACAATTTAATGTTGAAACTCTGAACTATGTCAAGCTACTATTTCATTTGATAATCAACAAACACTGAGTGTTACTGGATTTCCCTCAAAAAATTAACTGCTCTTTGGAGGGTAAGAAATAGACTTTTTCCTGAGCCTTCATCTCTCTGGAACTCCTCTCAGGCCAGACACAGCAGAATGGAAGATTAGCGCCTCACTACAGTAGGCGCTAAGAGATACGTCTTAGAAGTGGCCCATCTGTGTTGGTATTTTTCAATTCCTTTCCAGAGCTCACATTCCAAAATTATGTTAAAAACCTTAGTCTCTCCAACAAAACCTAAAATACCTGGAATCTTTAATTACAGAAGTGTTCTATTCTTTATCTTTTGGAGAAAAAGAAAATCATAAAAAATAAGGAAATTATCAAGAATTAAATTTATAAGATATTTCCAGAGAATGACACAGACTTCTGGAAAATGGGTGATCTTCTACAGTTTCTATAGCTTAGAATATTTTGCCCTGAGGATGACATGTAAGTATTGGCCCTGATCATCAGGTTTGAAAAAGATGGATATCATTCTGCTTAGTATACGGTAGGTAGTGAAAGAAACATCATTTTCAATAGTAAAGATTAATGTAGAAGGAGATCCAAGTTCATATTTAATACATCAAAAATCTAACTAGCAACAACAAAAAATAACCTATTCCCAATTCAAAGTTTTGCTAGACATGTGCCATCCTTCACCTGCAATAGCTCGGTAAGTGACAATATTCACCTAAAGATATGGTCTATAAGAGATTAACATCAGCTTGCTACTTTTAAGGTATAGCATCAGACATAGAGATATGCTGATGTTTTTATTTCAACTAGGATTTGTTTAAATTACAACCAAAGATCAGGCAAACTTGAAGTAGTATATAAACTGTTACTGATTTAACAGAGTATTTGGAAATTTAAAGGTTAATTCTCCCTTCAAAATGTGACACTACACTATGGATTTTCTAAGATTCCAAAATGATTATATTCTTAAAATATAATTATGAAATGATGTAGCCTGAATTAATACAGGATGCTTAATCAACAGTCTGTTAATTTTAGGTGCACAACTATTACTACCCAAAGGTTGTCCTAATTCATATATCAATCTGGTGGATTTAGTAAAATTGTATTTATGGCTTTGACGTTTAAGATTTGACCAAGTCAAAATATCAAAATATCCTTAAGCCAGAATGAGAGTGTACATTTTAATGGACGGAATTGTATTCAAAATTATGGCAGAATTCAGTGGCTGCCTGCCCTACAGCAAAAGATTCACTTACAATGTTAAAAACAATTAAAAAGAAAAATTCATCCAAAATTAATATGCGCTGTTTTGAGGCTAATTTTGCACCTTAGCTCTCTAGGTAGGAAGGTGATAAACTGCAAACGCATTCACACTTTGCAGTTTCAATGGTGCAGAAAACAGCCTATGAGGATGACAAAGTTATTCTGATTGTTGTGGCCTGAACAGGAAACAGAAGCTCCCTCTAAACTCTGTGGGGATATTCCACTGTCACATGTTAATGTCCTCATAGTCCTAAAAAACTGCAGATACTAAGACTCTACTTTCTAATAGACATTTGGCTTGGAA